ACCAGACGTCCTGTGCGCATTTTGAGACGCGAGCCATGCAAGACTACATGGAAAAGAGGAGCCATACCTGGTGTCAAGGCCAAAGCTAAGAGTGCCAAGGACAAAAGGAAATCCAAGAATACTCAGTGGCTATGGTTTGGTATCGAATGTGGGAAAGACAAATCCGTGCCTTTCACGCACGGTGCAGGAACCAAGCGAGTAGCTGCTGCTGTATTGCCTTCTTCGTCCAGTGCTCCGGATAAGAAGCCGAGAGGACATGAATCAATCAAGCAAGCCTTGCAGAAGCATGTGCTCCCCAACTCCAAGGTGACAGCCGATGGCTGGAGAGCTACACAGAGTGCTTGCAAGTCTTTGAAGATTCCCCTGAAGCAGGTGAACCACGAGAAAACTTTCCGAGCCAAGGACGGTACTCACAGCAATGATGCTGAATCAGAAGTAGCACGCTTCAAGCTCTGGTCCCGGGGCAAGTGGAGCAAAGTCAGATCCACGAACTCCAAATGTACAGCCAAAAAACAGGCCAAGCTTGAAGCCAAAGTTGCAGAGTATGTTGTTCAGACCAACAGTGGTTGTGACATGAAGCTACCCATGTCCATTATAATGGAAGCGATTCGCTTGCACAGCAAGTCTAAGCAGTGGTCGCCTGTGCTGTTGGAGTGAACAAGTGCAGACCAACTGTGGGGGACATGAACGAAACTATAGCGATATATATATATATATGTTATATATGTATATACATATACATACATAAATAAAGAGTAGGTGTAGGGTTTAAGGTTGGGCTTAGGGCACTTTCGGGTTCAGGGTAAGGGCTTTTGGTTTACAGTTGACGGCTCAGGCTTACAGTTAGGGGACGGCGGGTTGATAAGGATTCTATACCTGCTTGGTAAGGGTTGCTCGGGACGCGTAGGGCCTGGAGCGGGTTAGCCTAACCTAGCTGGGCAGATTTCACCCCGGCCCCTGGTACCTATTGATCTTTGGTCATACGGCGGGTAGAGGAGCAGGAGCAAGCGCCATGAAGCGATGAACACCATTTTGGACGAATGCAGCTGGGCAAATCGAAGATGAACTACAGCAATCGACGCTTTCGCCGTCGCTGCTACTACCATCTCCGCCAATCTCAGCCAAGTAGCATCACAGCAACAACAGTTGCAAGCACAAAGTGGTCAGAAGAACCAAACTGACAATCAAGAGAGGCTGAAACAGAACCTCGCTGAACCCTTAACCCAAAACAGTAAAACCGAAGCCCACAACACTTATCCCTAAACGTGGTCCAGCCATCAAGCAAGCTTTCTAAGGAGCTCGGGGTGCAAAGGCTGTCTGGCATCACTTTAGGTCCGAAACCCCACAACCTAAACGCTGAACACTGTACAACAAAACTAAAGCTAAACACTGAAAACGGAACCCAATACCTGAACTCGAACCCTGAAGCCTGAACCCCTCTGAGACCTAAGGCAAGATGCCACTTGTGCGGCCTCGCCAATCTGTTGGGTGATGCTGACCTGCCGCGGTGTAGGGGTTTAAGCTTTCCGAGGGCTCCGGTGTTGGGCTCGAATGTAGGGCCTCATTTTTTAAATATGGTTTCAGGCTCATAAAATCCCTTTGTGGTGCATTCATATGAAAGCCCGGATAGAACAACTTTGAACCCCTAAAACCCTCAACGTCCTCAGCACTCTGCGCCTGGGACCCCAAAAAGCACATAAGCAAAAATTGAGATAGGGATATCCCATATAAATCCCCCAATAAGGTAGGGATATCCGATAAAATGCTTATGCTTATGTCCTTTTGGGGTTCCTAAGGGCTCCCCCACCTCGCCATCGAGCCACGGCGCAGTGCCGGCCGGTGCCCCAGCACTGGAGTCGGGCCTCTTGACGGATCAGAGGAGCGGGACATCTTCATGGTCATTTCTACAGGGTTGCTAATGCTACGAGTATACGTCATCATCATAAGTTCGTAAGTGCTACAGGGTGTTCGTACTATTTTGCGTTAGTGTTGCTAATATTAATGACTAACTGGCATTGCAAAGTTCTCATGATGGTGACGATGACGAGGACGATGGATGATGGATGTGACGATGATGACGGCGACGATGATGACGATGATGCCGATGGGTGATGATGAGTGTGTTTTGAAATTGAGGATGCTTGTTGATGCTGATGCTGATGCTGATGCTGATGCTGATGCTGATGCTGATTGTGGGGATGATGATGATGATGAGGAGGAGTACCGACAGATTTATGTATGCACTTACTTTGTACTTGCATGTATTTATCGTTGCTGCAGGCATTACTGTTTCCATTATTACTCTAACCTTTATGCCTCTTAGCGTTGATCTAATGGTTTAGTGTAAGTCGTATTTGCTCTATGTCGTGACTCACAAAGTGCTAAGTTCGTACTGTTCAGACGTTTGTTGACCGCCGTTGTCACTTTGTAATTGGTTGGAGTTGCGAGCTCTGCGGTTTGGCCTTCGAAGGCCCAGGTGTAGCTGGGCAGGCTTTTAGGTTTAGGATGCCAGGTATGAGCTGCTCAGGTCTCATCATGCATGAGCTGCTGAGGGGATTCCGGAAATTCGGGACGTCTTTCCGATTTGTGGCGCATCAGCAAGCCAACAGTGTCTCCCAACTGCGGCAAAACAACAACAAGAAAGGCTTGTATCCTCAAGCACCCATTACCAAGGGACATTCACCCACCACCATGGACTCAAGAAGAGTTTGGCTGAAATGGACGGGCCCGGCCTCACCAGCCAGCCGGGAAGGGGCTTGTAAGTCTTGAGTTCCAGCTCCGCAGCCAACTTACCTGAGTCCGAGACATGCGAACAGTCGCAACAAGCCGTGCAGTAACGTAGAATGTCTACATCACTCTAACCCTAAGGGTCCAAGTACCTAATAATCATATACTCTCCCAAATAGTAACCTACATAACTACTATCCGAAACCTAAGTACCTGATTATTGGGTCCTTTGGACCCTTGGGGTAAGGGCTGGAATCAGGACCTTAAAGGGGGCCCTCCAGGGCTCATGCACGCTGGGTTGCCGGAACATCCGGAATCCTCCTTGGAGGTTCATGGGTAGTTATAAGTGGAGTTACAAGTCCCCTAATATGGGTTATAACTATAGTTACCCTACTTATAACCCTACTTATAACTACCCATGAACCTGCAAGTCCTGCAGCCGGACTACGCATTTCCAGGAAGCCTCTGTCGTGGAGTTGGTCGTCCGGACCGTTGTGAAACTCGCGCGGAAGGAAGCCTGGCAGGCGCCTTAAGGGAGCTACCCCTATAGGCCCTAGGCCCCATAGTAGTTCCTTTTTGGGGTTACCTTATAGGATTCTAAAATGTGAACCCCAAAAAGGAACTAGGAACTACTATGGGGCCTTGTAGGATTCTTTATATGAGCCCCGAAAAGGAACGACTTTAGGGCCTATGGGTAGACCTGAGATCTGCAACGGCCAAGGGGGCGGACTTCTGCCTGAACCTCAAGGTTCCATCTCACTCATGCCGATTAGGGTTTAGGGTTGAGGGTTTAGGGTACTCTGCGACGCGGACTGATGAACAACTAAGGCTAACATAGAAGTGGATGGTATGAATAGTGATGTCAGCCTGCCGCCACGCCGGTGGCAGCCTCACCAACGCCTGACACTCGACTTCCAGCTTCGGTACCAGAGAGGGGTGCCCAAGCAGACCATGAACGTACTTCAGTACAAAGCAGCACTGGACTACGGTCGGGGCGCTACAGACTCACTTGCTAGCAACAGCTTTATGCATGGTTCGCTTGGGGCTTCGCTGTCTCCTTCTCCCTACGGCCCCACACACACACGAGTCCCGAATGCCTCGGCATCATATGCCTCCACCGCAAGCCCTCGAGATAAGAAGGAACCCTAAACCCTAAACCCCTAAACCCTAAACCGCTGAACACAAAAGGACCTTCCCTCCATGCTTGCCGCAGCAAGGCAGGAAGCTGTGCAGAACCCTTCACGGATCTATCCGACTCTCCTGGCAGCATCCCGAAAAAATACATATATATATATATGTATATATACATATATATATATATACATATACATATATATATATATATAATTACATATATATATATATATATGGGTCTCAGAAATATTCATGACCCACATATCAACCTTCGCCCGATTCCTTGAAGAGCTCTTACACAGCCCTAAAGGCCCCCCTGAACCCAAACCCTCAACCCTAAAGCCGAAAGCCCAAGCCCTAAAGCCCCACCCTTCCGGTCGACCACCAGAGTCTTCACAGGCCGCTTCCGGGTCTCTCCGAGCCTGCTTACATAGGGTTAGGGTTTAGGGGTTTAGGGTTTAGGGGTTTAGGGTTTAGGGAGGGCCCTTAATAATCAGAATCGGGCTTTGGTGTACATTATACTATAACCTTAGAAGGAACCCCCCCAAAATAGTATCGGTAATGATTGAGGCTTCCATGGTAGGGCTTTGGGATCGTGGTGTTGGGGGTTCATGGTTTTAGGGGAGTTCGGGCTTAGGATTTTGGGTTTAGGGTCTTTTACGAGGATCCGATTTGGGAGTTTCCGAAAATTAGGGTATCCTATTTGGGGTCCTTATAATAAGGGTCCTACTATTTAGGGTACTATATTAGGGTCCCCTATTTTCTGAAACCCCCATTTGGGCTAACGGACTACTGTTTAAGGCTTGGGATGTTGCGGCTTCGAGCTGGGCTTTGAGGTTCGGGGCTCGGGTGGTTTCGGAGAAGGGTTTCAGATTTCCGGTGAAGGTGCAGCAGTTACGGATAACCGGCTCAGGTCTCAGGGCTTCGGATTTGAGGAAACTTAGGACAGACTGGTCTCGCAAAATCACAGATCCTAGGAGCGGGGCTCAGTTGACAAGTCGGTTTAGGGTTTAGGGTTTAGGGTTTACGGTCCCTAACCCTAAACCCTGAACCCTAAACCCTAAACGGTCTTCCCCAAGCCAGCGGAAAGCTTGAAAGATGGCAAACGCTCACCAAGGTGGGCGACTGACGTATCTGCCAGTCATTGGGGTTTAGGGTTTAGGGTTTAGGGTTTAGGGAGTTTAGGGTTTAGGGTTTAGGGAGTTTACGGTTTAGGGTTATTTTTTAAATGCAATAACCCTTTCTCCCGTTTAGGGTTTAGGGATGTTGATTGGAGTGGGGAGCACCAAACCCCAGAATGCGCAGCAGATTGATGCCTTTACAGTTGTGGGGCAGATCCCTGGGCAAACCGTTGAATACAATCTGGGTAGTTGTCAAAATTATGGTCCCTTTTGGGGTACCCTAAATAATAGGTGCCGTATTATAATAAGGACCCAAAAAGAGACCATAATTTTGACAACCACCCATATATAAAAATCGTAGCTGGCATCGCACCTCCGTAGGTAGTAGGCCGTGGAGCAGCCAATAACTCCCGCGCCACAGATTACCTTGCACTTGCACAATTTCTGCAACCAGTGGCTCAGTAGCCATTTATTTTGCAAAGAAACCGACAGCGCCAATTAGTTCGTGTAAATGAGTATTTTTCATAGTTGTCATGACCATCCCAACGATACCAGAACTATCCGCAGCAGTGCGG